CTCCCGCCATGGCCCGGCCGCCGCCGGCCTCCGCCCAGCCCAGGTGCCTACACCGCCACCTTCTCACGCGCAGCCCCGACCGTTGCAGCAGGCGCTCCCGCCTCCATCCTCCGCCCCGCCCGCGGCGTCTGGCCGCGCGGCACGCCAGGTCCGCAGGACTTAGCCCGCTTGCTTTCGCGACAAAGCACCGGCCTGAGGGCGCATGCGCACGGCGAGCCTCCGGAAGGGGCGGGGACAGCGGTTGTGCGTGGCAGGGGGAGCCTGCGCAGAGCCCGGTGGGTGTGCGGGCTGGGGTGTGATCCGCCGCGGTCGGTCGGCTGGGCGTCGTACCGGCCGGGGCTGTGGGGCAGACCTGGTTTTAGCCTTAGTTCACACCCCTCTTTGTGTTGGTAGGGCTTGGGATTACGAGTCATTCTTTCTACGAAGGCCTCGCGAGGTCCAGGTGCTTACTGGGCCTCATGTAGGCGAAGGGCAAGAACACAGTGCTCCGGGCTTGTCCTAGGAGCTCGACTCGTGCTCGGTTGGGGATGGCTTCCTGTCAGGGGACAACCAGAAATACGGAACTCTACAGGACGCCTCGGTTTCTTCAACCTCTTGTACGCTCGAGAAGAACCTGTTGAGTTACGGCGAACTTTCCTTGCACTCCTGTCCTTCTCCCCGCCCCAGCACCACTGGAAAGTTGGGATGGGGTCTGTTACTATGACTGTTAGGGCTCAAGTGTCTTCGAGAGGCTCTAGCAGTAAGAGTAGCAGCTGGAGTAGCAGCCCTTACTGTGGACTACAGACAGATAGCTTTCACTCCCTGACTCCTGCTAGTTTGTAAGTAAAATATTTGGGCCAACGAGTGCCGTGGTGATTAAGGTGGCTCCATCACACATGGCCAACTGCGCAGTTCTAATCCCCCGGACCAGTGGCTTGAGAAACACCGTGGGGCGCGTGTGCCTGCGGAAAATCTCAGTAAGAGGTTGAAATGGAGGAGGAGGGATTGCAGCGTGACCATTCCAGTGGAGGGGGTGAGGAGTGCCTCTCACTTTCCCACTCTGTCCCTCTGGCGAGCACGTGTGTCATCTGGCCCAAACAAAAACAAAAGCAAGTGAAGTATTTACAGTGCGATATTTCAAATCGAGTGATACCACCACTCGGTTGAAATTTGAGTATACCTTTCTTCAAGTCATCCTCCTCCCTCAACCCTTATGGAGGTATAATTGATTCGTTTGAATAGAATACAGATAGCAGAAGCCTGTGTTCCAGCCCTTCATCTCATTCTGGCTTCCTCCCCGGGGGCGCGGGGCGAGCCTCCGGAAGGGGCGGGGACAGCGGTTGTGCGTGGCAGGGGGAGCCTGCGCAGAGCCCGGTGGGTGTGCGGGCTGGGGTGTGCTCCGCCGCGGTCGGTCGGCTGGGCGTCGTACCGGCCGGGGCTGTGGGGCAGACCTGGTTTTAGCCTTAGTTCACACCCCTCTTTGTGTTGGTAGGGCTTGGGATTACGAGTCATTCTTTCTACGAAGGCCTCGCGAGGTCCAGGTGCTTACTGGGCCTCATGTAGGCGAAGGGCAAGAACACAGTGCTCCGGGCTTGTCCTAGGAGCTCGACTCGTGCTCGGTTGGGGATGGCTTCCTGTCAGGGGACAACCAGAAATACGGAACTCTACAGGACGCCTCGGTTTCTTCAACCTCTTGTACGCTCGAGAAGAACCTGTTGAGTTACGGCGAACTTTCCTTGCACTCCTGTCCTTCTCCCCGCCCCAGCACCACTGGAAAGTTGGGATGGGGTCTGTTACTATGACTGTTAGGGCTCAAGTGTCTTCGAGAGGCTCTAGCAGTAAGAGTAGCAGCTGGAGTAGCAGCCCTTACTGTGGACTACAGACAGATAGCTTTCACTCCCTGACTCCTGCTAGTTTGTAAGTAAAATATTTGGGCCAACGAGTGCCGTGGTGATTAAGGTGGCTCCATCACACATGGCCAACTGCGCAGTTCTAATCCCCCGGACCAGTGGCTTGAGAAACACCGTGGGGCGCGTGTGCCTGCGGAAAATCTCAGTAAGAGGTTGAAATGGAGGAGGAGGGATTGCAGCGTGACCATTCCAGTGGAGGGGGTGAGGAGTGCCTCTCACTTTCCCACTCTGTCCCTCTGGCGAGCACGTGTGTCATCTGGCCCAAACAAAAACAAAAGCAAGTGAAGTATTTACAGTGCGATATTTCAAATCGAGTGATACCACCACTCGGTTGAAATTTGAGTATACCTTTCTTCAAGTCATCCTCCTCCCTCAACCCTTATGGAGGTATAATTGATTCGTTTGAATAGAATACAGATAGCAGAAGCCTGTGTTCCAGCCCTTCATCTCATTCTGGCTTCCTCCCCAGTGGTGATCACTGTACTGAGACTGTTGTGTAAATTATCCCCACACATGTCCTTACGTGCATAACTATAAACAATACAGTTTTTTGCACATTAAGACATATAATTAAACAGAATCAAACCTATCATTCTGCACCTTTCTTCTCTCTCAAGAGTATACTTTAGAGATTTACCCAATTGTCATCTCTACTTAATTTTCGCTCTTGTCGAATGACCCATAATTTCTTTACCCATTCCTTTACTGAGGAAGTTAGGTGATTTTCACTTTAATGCTCTTACTGAGCAGCAATAGACATCGTGGGCAGAAGATTCAACAAGTAGAGCCCCAAAACAGATTTGCAGGGGAGTTTTCAACTTGATTAGCTATTGCCAATTAGTTCTTTTGAATTGACTGCTTCAACGCACCCACTTGTACTCCCATTGTCAGTAGAGGAAGTTTGGGGGCTCCGGTCTGATTCATACCTGAGAAGTCTAATTTGAAGGAGACTAGCTGAGGCAGCTCTGGTTGGACGTGGAAGGCAGAGGATGATGGCTATAAAGGGATCAGCTTGCATGGATAAAATGTGTCAGTACAAAGGATGTGAAGGTGTTTTTCATGAAGCAGGTGAGAGCCACCATGAGGTGGCCAGCCTGGAGTCATTTAATATCCTGTCCAAAAGGCCTCAGTGGAAGGGTTCTGAGCACAGAGAGCCTAAACGTATCTCTAAATTCTTGAGGGCTGAACAAATAACAAGATTCGCCTCACCAAAGGAACCACAGGTGACGGGTTCTCTGGAGATGAAGTTGGCAAAGGAACCCAAGAACACCCACAAGCAGCAGCTCGAAACAACTACAGAGGTCACGCAGGGCTGATTGCTAGCACCACAACAATCACAATCAGGTACAAACTTCCCTGCTCCCCCTTCCTCTTCTCCTCACTTCTACCATCCAGGCAAGCTAGATTGAGGATGGGACCAGGAGTGTGGAAGGAGGCCTTGGTGGAGTAAGAAGGGAAATCCACCATTTCCCTTTCCTCAAAAGCCAGCATCTTATAGGCCAGAGCTGAATGAGGGCAGAAGCCTCAACTGTAAATCAAGTTTGGAATACTGACTGGATATATTCATTATTTAAATATTACAGCTTTATGACCTCAGAGGACAGCACAAAACTTTTTTGTTGTTCTTTTCTTTTCTTTCTTTCTTTTTTTTTTTTTGGATTTTTGCTATAGGGCATGTGCACTTGCCAGAGAGACAGATAGAGACAGAGAGACAGAAAGCAAGAAATCACCCTCCGGGGGTGGGGTGGGGGGATGGCCACACTGCAATCCCTTCTCCTCAATTCTCCTCTTGGGATTTTGAGCATGCATGCACACGTGTCTTAAGCGACTAGTTTTGGGACTTGAACTGTGGTTGACTATGTGTGAGTCCAGCGACATAACCATTATGCCATCTGCTGATCCTAAGAAGACTTTTTAAAACCTAAGAGTGAATAGAAAAATCACAACTCTATCTTCTGTCTAAATGTACACCTAAAGATTTAGATCTACTGAAGAATTAGACCTACTGAAAAAGGCAAATGGACAGTGGGAGAGAAAAACAAAAGCGGGTTCATAATTATACCCAAAGTTACACTTTTCAATATAACAAACAAAAATTCCTCCAAGGTGGCTTTACTCTTACCTTCTAGAAAGCATCTGGTAAATAAATGCAATTTGTTTTCAAATTTTGATAAGCCATATATTGTTTAAATATAAACTGTCTACCAAAATAGTCACCATACTTCCAAGGCCAAATAAATAGTTGACTTGCAGATTCCATAGTGTTCTGGGTAGGTATTAAAGTGGCAGTAGTCCTTTAAAAAAAAAAAAAACTCTGGACTGAGGAAGTAGGCAGTATTACTCTTAAAATGAACTGAAATGACTAAGTATTCACATAAGTAGATTTCATCAATAGATCTAGCGCTCACAACAGACAAGTGGCACTAAACCAAAAACCAAATCCTTATTATTTCCCTCCCCAAATACAATAGTTACTATAGAATGAACCAAGAAGGCAACTATTATTATAAAAATGTTCCTTATACATTAATAACACATAGTATAAATGTTCTGTTTAGTAGAACAGAAAACATCGCTCATTTCCAGAGCATGAGTTCACACTTTATTTTCTATCATTGAGTATTGTTTGGCCTATGTGAACATCAGTTTTACGGCAGTAAGCAAACATAAGACGCATTTAGTTATAATGTCTAATATTGGGCCATCGGGAAAGTCATGATGCACTTTTACATAGAAAACCATGTCACAACTTTCTTTTGGAGAGGTTTTTGCTATAGGGCGCGTGCGCTCGCCAGACAGAGACAGAGAGACAGAAAGCAAGAAATCACCCCCCAGGGGGGATGGCCACACCGCAATCCCTTCTCCTCCATTCTCCCTTCTCCTCTGTTCTCCTCTCGGGATCTTGGGCATGCACACACACGTGCCCGGCGTGAGTTTAAGCCGCTGGGTCCGGGACTCGAACCACGGTCGACTACGTGGGAGTCCAGCGACATAGCCATTATGCTAACTGCTGGTCCCACGACTTTCTTGATGACCTAATAGAAAATGAGTAATAAAAGTCCTTCAATAATAGCTCCTTTCAGGGTCCAAGATGAAAAAAAGAAAGAAAGAAATGGAAAAGTCAGTCAGAGAGAAGCCATACATATATCATTTTTTAAAGACATCAATTTTTATTAAAATTATTTTTCCATTTTGTATACAAACTGAACTTGTTAATTATATCCAAGTACACCTTTGAATAATTCAAGTCGAAAGGCACAGTGCAAATGTAAATTACTACAAATCAACTATATTGAAAAAGATATTTAAAACAATTTTTTGCACACACAAAAAAATTGAAGCCGAATTGCTTTCAGAGTATTATGCCATTACCAGAATACCTATTTTGAAGCTTAATTTTTTTTTCCATTCTCTTTCAAGCTGGATTCAGACATTAACTATAATATTATGGAATGTCCAGCTCTAATGTTTAGTAACCAGACACAGATGATCTGTATAACCACAACTAGAATGTAGTTCGTGCAAGTAAGTTGGTGACTTTGGTATACTTCAACCCAAAGAGAGTGACTGTGACATAAGACGTGAGGAAGGAAGTGCCAAATTTAGTAAAGACCAACTAATACTATTTATGGATGCTTTCAATCTATGGTTGTGGAAAATAGAAAATGGGACGGATATTCTTCCTAGCTGGGTGCTTGCAGTTTTACATGAAGACACTATGAGCTACTCTACAAACAGGATTAGGGGAAAAAGTGATTTTTGAACTGTCTTCCATTTTAAGTTTTTCACGTAAAGCACAATATGAAATAATATATTCCATTTCTGTGTAGCCTCAATGAGGAAGTAATCTGTTAAAAACATGGAGTACATTCTTATTTCTAATTTTAAATCTCCCTTTAGATCTTATAAGCTTTGAAAGGCAAGTACAGCTTTAAAGCATCATGATGACTAATTATAGATGAATAATAATACAGACAGTCTATACCCTAGGAGGCAAGTGTAGGCGTTGTAATTGGAAATAAGCATTCTGAGATAATGCTAATAGCAGTGTAGAAAAATGAAGTTAAAAAAAAAAAATCCAAAGTGTTGCGTATCCTTCTGTCCTGGGATTTTATTTTAATCATCTCCTCCACAGAGCACGAGCAGTACCTTCCTGTAGTCTCCCGATGTGTCACCCTGGGGACAGAGAGCAAAGCTACCGTCAGACAAGGGGGTTTTAAAGTGGAATATACAGCTTAAAGTCACGTGCTTCCACCTTTCCAAGCTTGTCTGGATTTGTCAGCTCTATAAAATACTTTTGTTATTTTTTATTATTTCAGTGTAGAAAACAAAGATATGGAAGAACATAAAAATCATCTATAACTCCACCATGTAGAGATTACTATTTTTTTTTTCAATTGCCAGAGTGTGGAACACTTAGCAGAGAGAGACAGAAAAGGTAGGAGGGGAATACACCCCAATGGGGCATGGTCACACCACAATCCCTTCTCGCCATTTCTCCATCCTGTCAGGAATTTGGGCATGCACGGCACACTCACTTGTGCTTCTCAGGCCACTGGGGTCAGAATTCAAACACAATCGCCATGTGGGATCTGGCTCCCTTAATCACTAGGCAACAGGGATGGCCCAAGATTCCCATTCTTAATATATGATGTTTATCCCTCTAATCTCTTTTCTATACATATACCATAGACATGCCTATGTGATGGGACCATACTATTCTTCTGCATCCTGCTTTTTCACTTAACTATATCGTCTGAATATTTCCCTTTTATTAAATGTCTTGTACAACTCAAATGGTTACAGAGTATTTCAGGGTACATAAGTAAAGTTTGATCCCAATAGCACCCTTCCAATCTCTGGTAACCTCTAATATAATTTCTATCTGTATAAATAAACCTACTCTATAAATTTTATGAAAGTAGAATCATACAGTATTTGCTTTTTTGTCTCTGGTTTATTTTACTACACATTTTCAAGGTTCATCCCGTGTGTCAGAAATGTCAGTTCTTGGGGCCAGCAGATGGCATAGTGGTTACCTCACTGAACTGTAGTTGACTATGGTTCGAATGTCAGGCCAGGCGGCTTAAAACTCACGCCGGGTGCCCAAAATCCTGAGTGGAGAATGGAGGAGAAGGGATTGTGGCATGACCATCCTTCCTAGTGGGTGATTTCTCATTTTCTGTCTCTGTTTCTCTCTGGCAAATGCATGTGTCTCTAAAAAGAGAGAGAGAGAGAGAGAGAAAGAAATGTCAGTCCTTTTTTCTGTACATATATACATTTTATTAATCTATTCTATTTTTTTATATTTATTTATTCATTCATTTATTTCTTAATTTAACCAGAAAGAGACAGAGGGTGAGAGTGAGAGAGAAAGGAAGTGAGAAAGCAAGCCACCAGATTCAGGACTCGAACCCTGGTCGGCCATGTGGGAGTGTCCAGCGCCTTAATCACCACACCACCTGCTGGTCCCAATCTATTCTATTTGTGGATACTAGGGCTGTTTCCACCGTTTGCCCATTGTGTTCAATGTCTATATTAATATACAAGTATCTGTTAAATTCCTAGTTTCATTTCTTTTGAGTATTTTCTTGGGAATTAAATTGCTGGGTCATATGCTAATTCCATATTAAGTTTTTAAGAAATGCCAAACTCTTTTCCACTGTACCCGCACCATTTTACATTCCCGTTAGTAGTGAATGAGTGTTAGGATTTCTCCACAGTGTCACCAACGTTTGTTATTTTCAGTGGGCATTATTTTGTTTAGTTGTTTCCTTTTTCATTATAGTCACTCCAGGAGGCATGGAATTATATCTCATTCTGGCTTTGACTTGTATGTCCCTGATGATTAATGATGTTGAACATACACATCTTCGTGTGCTTGTTAGCCCTCTGCATATCTTCTTTGGAGAAATGTCTTTTCAAGTCCCTTACCCATTTTTTTAAAAGAATTATTTTATTTAACTTTATTTATTTATTTAATTTGACCAGAGAGAGACAGGGAAAGTGAGGTCTGGGACCCAAACCACAGTCAGCCATATGGGAGTCCAGTGCCCTTATCCACCATGCCACCTGCCGGCCCCACCTTGCCCATTTTTTAACTGGGTTGTCCTTTAGTGGTTGAGTTGTAAGAAAAGTCAGAAAAAATCATGATTTTTTTTAATTGTTTTTTCGTGCAAAAATGCGTCATGACTTATCCGATGATCCAACAGCTTACAGTCCTTTCATAATATAAGGCAGTGGTTTTCCCCAAGCCCTTCACAATGCTGTTTATGAGCTATTTAAACTTTCTTAAGGTGTTAGATAAAAAAATTAAAAATGATGATTTGATTTTATTTGTAGTTCATTGACTATTAGAGAGATTAAGCTTTTTTTTTCCTTTTAAGAGATACTTTTGCTATAGGATGTGTGTTCTCACCAGAGAGACAGAAAGTGAGAAATAACTCCCCCAGGGGGACATAGCCATGCTGCAATCCCTTTTCCTCCATTGTCCTCTTGGGATTCTGGGCATGCACGCACATGTGCCTGGTGTAAGGTTGAAGCTGCTAAATCTGGGACTCGAACCACGGTCAACTATGTGAGAATCCAGCGATATAACCATTACGTGCCATCCACATATTGGATTTAATCCCGAGATTAACATTTTCTATCTATGGATCAGCTATTGGTATTTCATATTTCATGAAATGCATAGTTAATATCCTTTGACCGCTTTTCTTTTTTTAATCAGGTCATCAGTAAAGTCATGATGCACTTTTGCATAGAAAAAGAAAAATACATCATGACTTTTCAATGACCTAATATTTGCCAGAGAGAAATTTTTCATTTGAAAATGTGCTTGCCAGAGGAAGAAAGTACCCCGCAAGGGAGCAGTCATGCCACAATCCATCCTCCTCCATTTCTTCCTCCCATGAAAGAAAGATCCATGCACACACCCGTGCTCAGTGTGTTCTTCAGGCCACTAGGGCTGGGATTCAAACTGCATGGGTGGCCATGTGGGATTCAGCTCCCTTAGTCATTAGGCCACGGGACCAGCCCTACCCAGATTTCTTTTTCTGTGTTTCTCTTTTTCAATTCGTGATTTGTAGAAGCTCACAGTATAAGGATATTAACCCTTTAATGTACGTTACAAGTATATTTCCCCATAACTTCATTTATGGTCCTCTTTGAATCTTAAAAGTATTTTACTTACAGCTAATTATCGTTCAGCTCTGTGAAATAAAGTTACCTCAGAGTCCACACAGAAATACAAAAACAAGTTCCTGAATGTCTTATAGACACAGTGACAAAGTCTGCAACTCAAACCACCAAATACTTACACCCCTCCAGGCTCTGAGTATGCTCAGGGTACTTCAGTCACAGATCAAATCCTGATTTGAAGTTTGTTGCACTGGCAACCCCAGCTTCTAGGGAAACTCAGCTTCATGTTCATGAGACTCTCTGGCTTCCTCAATGAGCAAAATCCCAGTAATAAGGGGTTTTGAGGGACATGACTCATTTCTTGCCACTCCCAGGCCATCTTAGGACTCCTAGGAGTCTGGTGCCAGGTAAAGAACATCAACCCAGGGCTCTCCCCACAGCCCAGTGGTTAAGCAGTATGCACTGGGGTCAGGTCCCACATAGCTGTCCACAGTTCTAATCCTGGCCTCCGTGGCTTCCAAAACATGCCAGGCACCTATGCATGCATTTCCCCAAGTCCTGAGGAGATGGCAAAATGGAGGAAAAGGACTGAGGTGTGACCATGTCCTATTGGGGTGATTTCTCCCTCTCTGGCAAGTGCACGTTCTCTCTGTCAATAAGAAAAATAAAAAACAGCAATCCAAGATAACTAAAAGGTTTTCCCATATTTCCTGATTTCAGATTGTCCTATAGAAGATTCTGCCTCTTATCTTTTATCATAAGGTGGACAAGGAAATTGTGCTCGTTTTTTTTTTTTTTGGAGAGGTTTTCGCTATAGGGCGCGTGTGCTCACCAAGCAGAGAGAGACAGAGAGACAGAAAGCGAGAAATCACCCCCAGGGGCGATGGTCACGCCGCAATCCCTTCTCCATGCTCCTCTCGGGATCTTGGGCATGCACGCACACGTGCCCGGTGTGAGTTTTAAGCCACCGGGTCCGAGACAGGAACCGTGGTCGACTACGTGGGAGTCCAGCGACATAGCCATTACGCTAACTGCTGGTTCCCTGGAAATTGTGCTCTTAAAAATATTCATTAAAATAAAATCTATTTCCATCTGGGAAGATAGATGAAATGATTACTCTATTTAAAAGGCAATCTTTTTAGCTTCTAACCTGGCAAAGGTTTAGATATCTGTGTGGCAAAAGCTTAAAGATCTGTGTGAAAGGAGAGAGATTGGAAATATCTGAGGTAGAGTCCCATCTTTAAAGGGAATGATGCATGTCAAGGAAGAAAGAACGAGAAGAGCTAAAGGCTGAGGCCCGAGCCCCGACCTTTCCTCCCTGGGCCGAAGCTTCCATGACCTACCTTAATGAAGGAGTACAGAGACTTTCCATAGAGCCTCTTGAAGTTGGCCCGGATATCCAACATGTCAATTTCTGCTCGAGAAACCATCACTCTAATGAGAGTGTTATCATCGGTACCCAAGCCCTAGGAAGAAAACAAGACCCCTCATAGGAAAGCTGAGCCGGTTTTCAGATGGACTTTTGTTCAGTCTATGAAGAGAGCCTAGGGATGACTCTCCCCGTGATGTTCTTTGTCCCAGAACTTTGCAGGTCTGAGGAATACCCCTACTCCTTACCATCATTTAAGGCTTTGTACAACTGACTTTGCCAACACCCTCTGTTCTGACCAGTGAAGACCACTCTCCGTCTTTCTAGAGACATACCCTGTGCTGTTCAGCCTGCCACCCCTAGAATGTCGTTCTTCCCTCTCAGCCTTATCAAGCCTCCCGCTCACCATGTAAAACCCCCTGACATAAAACTTCCTTGAAGGTCCTGCTCAAATATACCAACTGTGCTAATAAGTGCTTTCGGATCGCACCTCCCCCAACACACAAATATTGAAAAATAAAAACCTTTTCCTGTGTGTTCCTATAGTATTTGGGTTCTTAATTCCTGTTTTGGAGTCACCGTTGTTATTCCTAGTATTTGGCATATGTGCGCCTTCCTCACAAAGCTAAAAAGTTCTTTCAACGTGAGGAGTACTTTCCAGGTTCCCGGCCAGGTGCTTAACCAGAGAACCTCGCAGGGTTAGGAGTACAGGGTCTGGAGCTAGATGACATCCTTGCTCCATTCCCTCCTCCCTGAGGCCCTGGGGCCAAGTGCATATCCTCTCTATGCCTGTTTCCTCATCTGTAAAATGGGGGTTAATAATAGTACCTGCCCCACAGAGTGGTCATAGGGATAAAGTTAACTGGAACACATACATCATTAAGAATAGCGATCCACAGATCGTAAGTGTTCAGTAAATGTCAGTCTGCGTTATCAGGAGGAGGCACTCAGCGAACTGTTTGATGCATCGGCTATTTCAGGCCGAAACCTGCCTGGGAGAGCCAAGTGGCCTAAGGCATTCACAAGGTATGCCAAAGTCACCCAGATGCTAAAACAGGTCGTTTACCTTCATGGATTTATAAAGCCGTTCAGCAAAATACGCAGGTTTGTTCCTCATGCACTTTACTGTCAAGAGAAAAACAAATGAAGATTACAGAGAACCCCTACGAGAAAAGAAAAGTGACAGTGGTCCCCTCAGATTCTACCAAGTATCAAGTAATCTCCCTTGACTGCTTTGCTGAAGAAGTTTAGCCAGTCCACGTGTCACGAACCCGGGTTCTGCTCAGCCATTTCTTTTCACGAATGGAAAAGACCCTTGGTTTATTATCAAGGTCCTGGAGAAGACATCAAAGCAAAGGGTGGGCCATAGCTTCAAAATGAAGATGGCCGTCTCTACCACACAAGGCAGTTACTAGTTCTCGCCATTCCCAGACTTGCAAGCCACAGCTAATATGGCATTATCTTGCCCACAGAATGAGATATGAAGGCACAGAAGATATAAAATATATAATGCACATGGCCCAACAGCCATCGGGTTATACACAATACTTCCTGTGTACAATTTTGGAATGATTTAAAGACCTTTTATTTCCGAAAGAAAAAACAAAAGTTCTATAACCTCATGAGAAAAAAACTGGTACCCCACTCCCCCACCCAGCACTTACCTATAGCCAGCAGAGCGTCTTCAAAACTGCCGGACGTTTCAGATTTAATACTCTGCTCAATATCCTTCTGCGATATCCTTTTGTATTCATCAAACACTATAAACGATAAGAAAAAGGGACTATCAATGATAAAAAATAGAATATTAGGGGCCGGCAGGTGGCATGGTGGTTGGGGGCGCTGGATTCCCAGATGGCTGCCTGTGGTTCAAGTCCTGGACCTGGTGGCTTGCTGTCTTGCTTTCCCTTTCCCTTTCTCTCTCTCTCTCTCTCTCTGTGTCTCTGCCTGCTCGTAAATTAAAAATTAATCATAGCAAATGGACTCAAATAAAAATAAATAATTCTTTAAAAAAAACCAGAAAATTATAATTTATGGTGAGAATAAACATCTTTTAACATCTGTATATTTTAATTTTTATTTATTTATTATTTATGTATTTATTTTTGCTGTAGGGCATGTACACTCGCTGGAGGTGGGAGGAGTGAGAAAGCACCCCTGGGTGGGGGATGACCATGCCACAATCTCTCCATCTTCATTCTCTCCTCAGGATTTTGGGCACACATGCACGCATGTCTGGCATGTTTTTCAAGCCTCTGGGTTTGGAACTCGAATGACACAGTCGGCCATGTGGGATCCAGCCACCCTAACCACCATGCCACTAACTGGCCAGAGAATAAGCATCTTTTAACTAGTCTGCACTATTTATCCTTGGGCATATTTCCAGAAGAAACTCATTAACGGTGTGGGCGCAAATCAGGAGCGACAGGGCACCTGGAATGGGCCCAAGGCAAGGAAGACAGCGCTGTGACTCCTGGAGGGCATCAGACAAGTCCCTTCTCTTATCTGGGACCCTATTTCCTCGCACATAAGATGGAGATGACCTCTACAGACATCTGCCTTCTTCTCTTTGTTTCTTTAATTAGCAGGACATGTCTTTCTGTAATTCTGGCCTTGGCAATCACCAAAGTGTTCATCTTCTTTTTGGCTCAACAAAACTAGAGCAGTCCAACCTCAATACTGAGTCATATTTGATAACAGTAAATTTGCATTTTTAAATAGAATTTAACATTTTTGAATGTGATTAATCTGTTTTCCTCTCTTGCCATTTCTTTCTGGCACCTTCTTAGAGAAGTATCTGTTCTGTTTATCTTCTGAACATCACCTTCTTTGGGATGCTGCCTCATCCCACATCAATGTCATTCTCACAGGGCTGTCAATCAAGAGGGACCAATAGCCAGACAACAAATACCTCATGCAAGTGAGCAGTCCAACCAATCAGGACTCAGCAAACTTACTATCCTAGGAATTTTCCTTTCTTTCTTTCTTTTTTTTTTTTTTCTTTTTTTTTTTTTTTAAGAGATTTTTGCTATAGGGCACGTGCACTCGCCAGAGAGACAGAGAGACAGAAAGTGAGAAAGCACACCTCAGGGGGAATGGCCACCCTGCAATCCCTTCTCCTCTACCCTCCTCTAGAGATTTTGGGCATGTATGCACATGTACCCAGCCTGAGTTTTAAGCTGCTAGGTCTGAGACTCCAGCAGCAGTCAGCCAAGTAGGAGTCCAGAGACATAACCATTATGCCATCTGCTGGTCCCCCTCCTGGGAATTTTTGAATTGAGCAGGTCATAGAGACATCTTTACCCACAGAGAACCATGAGAACCCCCTGGAAACCTGTTAAACTTCCTGATTGGCATTCTCAGAGATTCTAAATCACTTAGTCTGAAGTAGGGGATTCCACACCAGCATTTTAAGTGGAAATCAGACTTTAGAAACTCTGCCTTAGAAGTAACATCCATGGCTTCCTTCTACTAGCATTCCCAGAATTACCTTGGTTTCTGTTCTTCCTGATGCTGTTCTTTCCATTGAATTCTTTTTTTTTTTTTTTAAGTTTATTTCTTCCATGAACAAGAGAGACACAGAAAGAAAGAGAGATAGAGAGAGTATACCCAACAGGGTCTTGATGCTGTGATCCACCTCCAGCCAGCACTGGATCATAGACATGTGGATGCCTGGTATACTCACGCAGGGAGGTCTCTGGACATAAATCCGGGACCTTCAGTGTGGTCAGCCTCGCAGTCGTGTTTTACCATTGTCCCACAGTCCAGCCCCTCCTTCAATTCTGTGAGCCACCGATATTTTACATGTCCCCTCTTGTCCTATTCCCTATTATTTCTTTTCTTATGTAAGTTGGAATTAGCCATTGAATTCTTTTTTTTTTTTTTAAGTTTATTTCTTCCATGAACAAGAGAGACACAGAAAGAAAGAGAGATAGAGAGAGTATACCCAACAGGGTCTTGATGCTGTGATCCACCTCCAGCCAGCACTGGATCATAGACATGTGGATGCCTGGTATACTCACGCAGGGAGGTCTCTGGACATAAATCCGGGACCTTCAGTGTGGTCAGCCTCGCAGTCGTGTTTTACCATTGTCCCACAGTCCAGCCCCTCCTTCAATTCTGTGAGCCACCGATATTTTACATGTCCCCTCTTGTCCTATTCCCTATTATTTCTTTTCTTATGTAAGTTGGAATTAGTGTACATTGCTTGGAATAAAAAAAATCTAATTGGCACACTTTCTAAGTCTCAGTTTTCTTCACTGTAAAATGGGGGAAATAATGACTATTCCACTGAGGTGTTACAAGAAAGCATACTTATGCTTAGCACTGCACGTAGAAGATTGAAAATGAACAAGGGACCAGTAGTTAGCGTAATGGCTATGTTGCTGGACTCCCATGTAGTCGACTGCAGTTCAAGTCCCGGACCTGGTGGCTTAAACTCTCATCAGGTGCATGTGCGTGTGTGCCCAAGATCCCGAGAGGAGAATGGAGGAGAAGAGATTGTGGCGTGGCCATCCCCCAGGGAGGAGGGAGTGATTTCTCGCTTTCTGTCTCTCTGGCGAGTGTACGCGCCCTATAGTAAAAACCTCAAAAATGGAAAATGAGTAACAAAACCTTAGCTATTGTGAATCTCACCATTAGTGTTGGTTGGAAAGAAAATTATGTTTTCTTTATTGAAATAGTGTGTGAGATCTTTTTACCTGGTGGTTTACAAGCAGATTTTAAGCAGATACTTTATAACTGCCCAAGTACTGACTTGGACCCAGAATTAAATAGGCCTCTGAGGCCCTGCAGTTCTTGAAAACACCACCAGGGGGAGATTTGTGTTCTCTGCAGTGAAGTAGGGAAGGCAATGATGTCAGGCGGTGAGGCAGATACGGGTGCATCTGGTGGCAGCCCATGATATTTCTCAATAGAAATAATCATCTTTATTTGTCACCATGGAATATCTGAAATAATTACAACTTCAAAATGTGTTGGACTTTTCAATGACTTTGCTATGATTTCAATTTAGAAAACTCATTCAATTTCCTTCAAACTCTATGTGATTATAAGGGCATCATGGATTTATAAAACTATGATGTACACAAAGGCCTAAAGAGCTTATATAAAATAGGGACCAGCAGGTGGCATGGTGGTTAAGGTGCTGGACACTCCCACATGGCTGATCACGGTTCTAGTCCCGGACCTGGTGGCCTGCTTTCTCACTTTCCCTCTCTCGCTCTCTCTGTCCCTCTGGTCAAATTAAAATAAATGAATAAATACATACAATTAAATAAATAATTCCTTTAAAAAAGTGCTATAAAAAAAAGACATGAAGATGAGTATGGGTATGTCCTCAATTTGATTGTGGTATATTGTATGCATGTTATAAAAATCATTCTGTGGCCCACAAAGATATACACTGATTTTATGTATACCAGAAATCATAATTAAAATTAATAAAAAAGAGCTTATATAAAATATAAAATATTTATTAAACCCTTGTTGCTGTTTATAAGAAGAATATAAACTGGACAACAAATATTCTATAATTATACAGTATCTCCCTACCCCCCAAGAGGTTCGGACCACATTACAAAGTTAGAATTATCAGAAACAAACTAGGGACAGTACACACAGGAAATAAAATCTGAAATCATCCAGTATTTATCTTATGCAACAAAACCCCTAAAGAAATCACTTCCATCAATATTAGCTTTACAGCTTGGATGTTCAGCA